TGCTTCTGCAATCCGGTGTATTTGCTGCGCATTCTCGTACATAAGTGCATATTGGTCTTCCGGGCGCGTCCAGAGCTCCAGTAAGCAAGGAATAATCACTCCTAGATTGTTCAGCGGGACGGGAAACCCCAGGAGGGCAGCGAGAGTAGGTACTATGTCCGACTGTTCGACAACGTCATAGTATTGGTAGTCTACCGCATCATCGACTGGGCTTGTTCGTCCTTCGAATGCGGACTTGAACTTTGGAGAAATGAATGTGAGCGCTGTGGACACTTCTCCCGGAGACGAAGCGCCGTGATTGCCTCCTTCGTTCATGCCATGGTCTCCAAGCAGAACTAGCAAACATGAATTGAGGTGGTCTTCCTGCTCCATAGCAGTGTAAATGTCCCTCACAACAGTGTCCATTTCAGCCTGCTTAGCCGGCATGTTGGGTCCTTTTGGTCCGGTCTTGTGGCCGATGTGGTCGAGCCCGAGAAAGTGGAGTGTCATTGCGGACCAGTCGTCCTTGGCCAACTCTGTCGGAATATGTCTAGTGACATTGTTGTCGACCTCGGTAAAATCGGAGACGAAGAAGCTGGTAGTCCCATCTGCTCGCCGGAAGAAGTCGGGAAAGAGACGCAACCAGGTATCGTCGCCGTACATGACGAGGTTGCCGTCCTTGGCCTGCAGCTGAGCGAGCCAAGTATCTTGATCCTTGAGAGTCGACGTCGTGTCCGACTCGGCGAAATTCAGAATGAGATCGACGAAGCTGGGCACAGAGCCTGTTGTGATCGCCTTGACGCGTGGCATGGTGATTGTCGGAGGACTGGCATGGCCGGTGAACGGTACCGCACCACCAGATCGGATCAAGCTCTGAGTAAAATGAAAGCTGGAGGCGTTGCCATAGACGAAGTCGCTTCGTAAGGCGTCCACCACCATGAAAATGACGCGGTCAAATGGTGCTGTCCTTGCAGCCGCACCTGAGTCCGAAGGCCATGTCGCAAGTCCTGGCAAGAAGGCCTTGTGTGGAAAGAAGCCTCTTGCAAAGATGAGCAGTGCCGCAATCAGGAGGATATTGGCAAGACCGAGGGATGCGGTCCTGACAGACGCCTTCATTCTCGGATACCAATCCACGGGACTTCGAAACAATTTGGACAGCCACAATCACCTGTGACTGTGAGTCTGGTCCGACTCCATGCCAAAAACGCGCCTTTTGTGAAATCAGAATGTACCTGACTGCCCGGGTCTGAAGCCCAAGTCAGCTTTCGTTGTACCGAAGAGCAATTTGAGCGTTAAGAGACAACATGCTAAATTTGCCAAGCTGCCACGAGGACTAAGCTTGAATAGGGCAAGGCTGGCCCAATACTTGAAGACGGCCTTTCAGATATGCTCTCGAACTCTCAGTAATTAGAGCATCAAACAATGCTTACTCCACGCCTAGGCTCCCTTCTTCCAGCTGGCTAGTTGAAATCATGTTTTTAGGACTTATGTCGACAGGGTGGTATACTGTATTCCCAACTGGGAAGCGAGGTTCTTTACCCCTTATCATCTACGGAAAGCCTAAACAGGTTAAAAGCTGTGGGTTATTATTTTCTCAATCATTTTTCCTCTCGCAATCGACCATAGGATGTGGAAAACAGGGCTTCCCGTTCGCTCAGCCGTACTTAAGCCACATGCCGGTCAGTTAGTACTAAGGTGGGTGACCACTTGGGAATCCTGGCTGTTGATTGTTTTTGTCGATTTTTGACTTGGAAGCCTCCACCCACAAGATGGCCTTTTTCGCGAAGATAGTATGTATGGGCTTCTAAGGAAGAGGATGGCCTTCATCTGGCATTGATACTTAAGTTCGGGGAGGGGGACACAACCCAGAGCACATTCCACCCATGCCACTCTCATCGAAAACGGGCGGTAGGGAGAATTGTTCGCGCAGCATCCAGCACGTACCGTTGCGAAAACCCGGAGGCGACCACGATCTGCAGCACCTCATATCCTTGAGTGAAGCCGCATTGTATGAGCCCTCATGTCCTCCTGGTACGTCGACGAGCTTGAGCACTGCGGAGACCAAGGATGCCGCTCAGCATCGCCAAAAATTCGCCTCAACATCGCCACGTCAATCGAGGCACCCAGGGGGTGTCAGAATTACCCGGCCACCCTCACCAGGAAAGTCAGCCGGCTTACTAACAAATTCCCCCTCTCGCCGATAGAAATTACTGCTTCATCAGTGTTTCTTATTAGTATCTTATAGTAACTACACTGAATTACTTTACTTCTCTTTACTAGTATAGTCGCTAAAGCCTAGGCAATCTATATATAGTAAAATTATTAAAAAATGATGTTAATCTACATAGTGTATTAGAGATATACCTCAGAATACACCTAAAATCGGGTTGGGTGGCCGGGTAATTCTGTCACCCCCTAGGTGCGAGGCACTATGCCTCTGGGATGAGTAAGCATTCAACGAACTCCATGGTTGCCATTTCACGATAAGTAATGTACAGCGTCTTGTTACATTATTCACGTCTCCCTACTCTCCATCACGGAGGAGCATTGCACCATCTTCGTCGTCTGAACAATCAGACCCCTTTGAATTAGAAACGCCCCAAAGTTGAACGCTGCGCGAGCTCTTCTCTGCTCTTCCCTCGTCTCTAGAACGCACTTTCGTTCCCCAATGGTAGCTCCAGGACTCGGATTCACTGTGTTGACTACTCTTGTCTCTGAGCCTCTTCATCCCAAAGCCCTCCACCATGTCCTCGTCAGGGTCGTCATCTTCGTCTATCGCCCATTTTTCCGCCCGAATGTACTCCCAAGGCCTGCAGAGCGTCCAGTATTCGAACACGTTTGCGGCGGATTCGGTAGCGCCAACTTCCTAATATGGGTTAGATGAAGGTCGAGGAACGCGCGCACGGAGAGCTTTCCTCAGTTGAGGAACGCTCAGTAGCGTCTACAGGAGAACCCTTCGGGTCGTCCTCTGCGAGCCGACGGAGGAGAGTCTCCTTATTTCCACGATACGGCAGGTTGCGACCACGAAGCAGAGTGCTAAGCTCGTCTTTCTTCATGCTAGTATACTCGAACCTTGTGTTATTCTTTTCCCGTCGGGACTCGCCAGAGATGCGTTTGGAAGGACGGACGCTGTGATCTCTCGACGTTGCCGTCAACCCTCGGTTAAAGCGCGTTTGACACCAGCCATTGTCGTTCTGTACTGCGTAAGTGTTCGCACCGCAGAAGAGAACAGATGAAGGGAGGAATAGGAAGCAACAGGTGCAGGACATGGATATGTCACAGTCCAAGGGACGAAGCACCTCCAGCTTCGAGAAACTTCGTCTGCACAGTAAGTTTCAACACCTACCGGGGTATGCCCTTGACGGCCTCTCATCATGTTTAGCCGATGACGTCGACGCGTCGCGCGTGCCGCGCGATCACGTGAATGGAATGGAGAGGCGCCGTAACCTTTCTCTTGGGCATCGCGAAGTGCTCTTGAATGCACTCAAGCGCAGATGCTTGATTAGGTTGTCTACCTCCTCAGACTCCGGTGCGCCTACCAGGATGCTTGACAGACAATATCCCATTACACACGGCGCGCGGTAAGGACGGCCATCATGGCTCACATGAATTACTACGACATCGCGCCGGTGTCTCGCTTTGCGAGCCTGCATGCGGCCGTTCGAAGACCCAGAGCATGCATCGCCAATGCCGCAGTCTGACTGATACTGACTTGCGCAGGAGATAACATTCTTCTCGTTCGACGAGGACCACCAGTTTCGGCACGATGACTCCAGTCTACGTTACTACTACCCGCCTGCACTGCCCTGCGACTTGAACAAAGGGTTCGAGACTTTTCGACAGCTCGACGACTCCGGTGATGATCACCTGGACGGTCTTTTGGAAGCACTGATCGCTCACGAGAAGGAGAAGGGGTCGAAAACAGATATAGACTTTGTGACGTGGCGAGGAATGATGACCAAGGTGCGGCCATCTGGTGGAATTTAGGAACCTCGCTTATGCGTCGAATAGATCATGGTGGCCCCTTTCTCCAAGCTGGATGACTGGGAGATGAATGCTACGTTGTTTCAAGGCACCATATACCTTGAGGAGAACCACACCAAGAAGATTTCTTCCCGGCAGCAGCAGTATTCATCAGCGGTGCGACCAGGTGCTTTGTCCCAAGACCTAATGAGTTTCTGGGGGTATAAGTTCGAATCGGTGTCGCTGATGCCGACGCCATGGCCTGAGACGTCTCGCGAGTATATCGAATCTCGTGAAGACGAGCCGGTGAGCAATTATGCGCAGTACTGCTCCATTGTGCGCACAGGCTTCGGCAAAGTGAAGATGATCCTTGGTGGGGAAGTGGACGCTGTCATGGCCTTCAAGCCAGAAGACAAATCCAGGCCGATAGATTGGGTCGAGTTGAAAACCACCGCGATCGTCACAAATGAGAAGGAGCAGATCAAGTATGAGAGAAAGCTGCTCAAGTTCTGGGCACAATCGTTCTTGCTTGGAGTGCCGAGAATCGTCGTCGGCTACCGAACCCAGCAAGGTATCCTGGAACGGATCGAAGAGTTGGATGTCCAGACAATTCCCGAGAAAGTGAAGCTCAAAGGTAAAGCTCTGTGGGATGGGCAGACCTGCATCAACTTTGCCGCGAGCTTTCTAGAATGTGAGCATCGGCGGTACCGTAGTATGTGGGCATAGCTGATTTCTTTGATAGGGCTCAAAGGGATCATCACTTCCGACGGCGTTTGGCGAATCCGAAAGCGCGAGAACGTCCCGGTCCTGGAAGTGTTCAAGCTTGAAGAACCAGGTCATGGAGATATCCTCTCACCCGCCTTTATCAAATGGCGGACTGATGGCCTAGAGGCTCACCAGCAGCATCTGCAGGTCTTGAAAGGACAAGCCAACGGTGATGGTGTTGAGCCTCCCTGATCGAACCTGCTCATTCGTAGGGAGATGGCCGTCGTATCTCAACGACAGCTTCTTCGCTGGCAGAGATGGTGGCTCGCGTTACCATTTTTGATCCCCGACCTTTATATCGGCTGGTCCCGAAGCTGAACAAATCTTTCTCCTGGAGCGCGACTCTCTTGCACCAACAGCAACTCCTGTCTGCGCTGCCAAGCAGTGATCTTCTTGTGACTGCGGCTTGCGATGTGGCCGTTCCACTCTTTCTCGGTCATGAGAGTCTTGTTGCATACCTCACATATCCGGGCCTGACGATCGCCTACCATGCTATCCTGCTCAATACGCCGGAGGGTGTTTTCCGCCATGTCCGAGAGAGTCTTGGCCCTAGGCAGTTCACGGCCCTGAACGAAGGTTTCCACCAGTACTTCCGCGGGCCCTCCCACGACGGCGGGCCACCGCGCCAGGTCGGTGCAATCTAGGAGGTACAGCAGTTCACATCTGCCAGCAGCCTTCAGGGCTTTCGCCAACCGAATGCGAACGAACCGGTTCTGGCGTTTCGCATAGCGTCTAGTGCTGGCTTTCACGGCTTCGATGCCCTCTTCTTTCGCGGCGGCCAGTCTTGCAGAATCAATATCTGATGCCTGCTGCTCCTCCAGCCATGGCTTCATCTCCTTGTACCCGATTGAAGCCCAGATGCCGTTGGTCAGATCCACGGATTGACCTTGGTTTCTCAGGTCTGATTCGAACTTAGCCATCTGTACCACTTCGTCACATAGACCGTCTGCAACCATGGCATCGACCCTGGCATCAAGTCTCTGCTTTAGTACTGCATCTTCAGCTTCCAACCATAACACCAAACTTGGATAACGCAAAGACATCTTCCGCTCGGCTGAGGCGTTGTCTTGGGTAGGACGGGTATTTTCGGCATGCTTCCCGTCCTGATCTTCTACAATCGGTTGGCGTTGCTCAGCATAGATGTCCGAAGCTTTCCTCCCGCTCTTCAGGTATATCTCGAGGGACCGCCGGATTTTGTTTCTGTCATTGGGATGCCATCGTTTGGCCATCTCGGGATCCACCTCACGCAGCTTTGCGAAGATCTCTTCTGTTGGAGCTGACAGAATGGCCAAAGCGTCCACGGCTTTATCGGCCGATTCAATAAGTGAGTCGTCCCCGGAGTCGCCGTCGGCTGTACTCAGGATGGCGTCATTGAACAACAATGAGAAAGTGTAGTAGATAGTACCACCCACTATGATAGGCAGTTTGCCTCTCGCACGAATTGCATCGATGATGCGGGAGCTTTCTCTCACGAAATGCTGCACGCTCCATGGCTTTTCCCTCAGATCAATAAAATCAAGCAGATGATGTGGGATGCCATCGCGTTCGTTCTCGGGGATCTTATTCGTGATGATTGGCAGTCCCTTGTACATCTGCATAGCATCGCAGTTGATGATTTCGCCGTTGAAACGTGTTGCCAGTTCTACGGCTAACTGTTCTGTACCCATCAGGGTTGCCAAATCTCCATACGAGTGGAGGCGAGCACTCACCTTTGACTTTCCCGTACCAGTTGCGCCTATGATCATGATCAACGGGTCTTTCGGCGGAGAGGACGCCATCTTCAAGCCCCGTTTTAGCAGCAAGGACATGGGAATCTCTAATTCGTAGGATATCGAAGGCAGACTTCACTCCTCATCCATGCCGACAAGTGAGATAGCAGTGTGCCTCCAGCCTCCAAGAGAAAGACCGGCTCGGCTCGAATTCATTCGTGGGGAGATACTCCCTTTAGCTGAGGTCTGGAACAGTAGTGAGTTCGATTTGGATCTGTGACGGTGCATGTTTGTAAATGAATCCTCGCTCAGGCGAGACAAAAAGTACATAATGTCGGCCGAGTGTCTCACTGTAGCGATTACCCCGGATTTCTACGGTGGATTTTATAGGGTGAAGCGCAGTGAAATTTCCAGACATCTTCGCTTCACTTCCGCATTTCTAATTCAGGTCACGGTGGTGCCACCAACTCTTGCCTCTTGTTCTTCCACCTCTGCATCCTGGTCAACCTGCTGCAGGCTGGCATCATGGCAGAAGTCGTACAAGCCCGCACGACCCTCGGCGCTGCGCCCGCCTCACCATCTCGAAAGCGCTCAGCCTCTCCCATCGGAGAAGAAGCCGCAAGTAACGCGCTGACAACGAGCAACAACGAGAACACGATCACTGCTCCCACACCCGAGAACGGCGAGCCTCCTACTAAAAAGACAAAACTCATCCGCCGGAAACGCCGGCCAGCACGTCCTCAAGTCGACCCTAGCACTATCAAATCCGAACCCCCGCCTCAAACTGGCACAGTCTTCAACATCTGGTATAACAAGTGGTCCGGTGGCGACAGGGAAGACGCCGCCTTGTCAAAGCACGCGGCTCCAAACAGATGCAATATCAGGAACGATAGCGGGTGGACACAGGCAGACAAGACACCAGGGAGCTATTTCTGTTTATTTTTTGCAAGGGGCATCTGTCCCAAAGGCCACGAGTGCCAGTATCTACACCGTTTACCTACAATCTATGATGTCTTCAACCCCAACATGGATTGTTTTGGCCGCGACAAACACTCAGACTACAGAGACGACATGGGAGGCGTGGGATCCTTCATGCGTCAGAACCGCACACTATACGTCGGGCGCATCCACGTCACAGATGATATAGAGGAGGTTGTGGCGCGGCATTTTCAAGAATGGGGCGAAATCGACCGTATCAGAGTCCTGACTGGAAGGGGCGTCGCTTTTGTCACATACGTAAATGAAGCAAACAGCCAGTTTGCGAAGGAGGCGATGGCACATCAGGCGCTCGACAACAATGAGATATTGAACGTACGTTGGGCGACGGTGGATCCGAACCCACTAAGTCAGAAAAGAGAGGCAGCAAGGATTGAGGAGCAGGCTGCTGAGGCGGTAAGGCGGGCGTTGGGGGAGAGGGCTGTTAGGGAGATCGAAGGGCGGGAGACGAGGGAGGAAAGGGAACAGAGAAAGACTGAGAGCAGCTACGGGTTGGAAGGATACGAGGCCCCGGAAGTGATTCGGTTCAACCATCAGAAGGAGCTTGGGGGCCAGAGAGCGGGCGAAAGAGGCTTGCTTGAAGCACCGCCGACTGAGGAGAATGCAGAAGACGGAACCGCGGTCGACGAGAGCGCAACTGTCGGCTCATCAGCGCAAGCGCAGGTCACCAGAGAAGGTGGTGCCACGACGAATGGGAACGGGGACAGCATTTTCGGGAGCTCTACTCTCGCAGCGCTGAGAGGATATGCCTCGAGTGCATCACCGGCACCTCGACCGAAGCCAGCACCGACTGCGGGTCCGCTAGTTGCGTATGGAAGTGATGAAGACGATGACTAGAAGCTTGAGGCACACAGCGCATCTGCAACACGGCACTGGCCCAGTCAGGCTCAACCATGAATTTGACTGATCTTATGTTCCGTGCTCTCTATATTCTGCCCGTCATTTCATGCACAGCAGCCAGTCCATTGATGGGTAGCGGTCGAGTAGAAAGCTCGGGTTCGACGTGAAGCCCGCACTCAGCCGATCTCCGAATGTACAAGAGACTTCAGGAAACTGCTCCAAAGAGCATCTCCATTAGCTTGGACATCATCTTGAGACAGGCCCCGAGATGCCCGGCCTCAAACTGGTACACATACTGATCCACAGTAATGGGTACATAATACGTACCGTACGGAGTACACCATATTGTGTACACTGGTCTGTAAAGCAGCAACGGAGCTAGACTGAAATAGGATATATCCCATTGCCGCGCCGGCAGCCTGATGTTCCCAGACGTTCATTCAGACATCAAACAATCGGCCAAGCCACATATTGACTTCCTTTACACAATACTCGGTCCCCTTACTCCATACTCCCCGTCTACCTTTCAGAACATGGAGTAATCTGGTTCTATAACCCACCCACCCAACACGCTTCGATACAGTGCACAGAATACGCCGTGTACCTGAAAATGGTCCTCAATCAAGCCGACCCAGACCCCATCCCAGACGCAGACAATTCCACCACCTACACAGCAAGAACACCTCCCGTAACCGTTTGCGAGGATGTGGACGAAGCCGATGCCGATGTCGACGCCAAGATCAACAACATCCCACCCAGCCTACCCCCATCGTCAGTCCCCTGGCCAGGCTCGACATTCATCATCCGCTCCATCCCCTCGGGCCAGGCTCTCACCGTCCTCGACGGTAAAGTCACCCTAGCGCCTCTCGGCGGCCGCGGCTCCGTGCACTGGGCCTGCGTCGAGACCAAAGGCTGGCTCGGCTTCCGGAACGTCGTGACGGGCAAGTTCCTCGGCCACGACGGGAAGAAAGGCCGACTGTGCTGCTCGGTCGGGTGGCATCGCGGGTGGGAGAGCTTTAGTCCCAGATTGAGGCCGTCCGGTGGGTTCGTCTTGATGATGACGCATTTCGAGAGGTTGTGGCCTGTCGGCGTGAAGGTGGAGCACGGGGTAGAGAGGCTGGCCAAGATCGAGAAGCACGCAGGGGATGCGATGGTTTCGGTTTGGGAGTTCATCAAGGTTTGAGGAGTGAGAGTATTTGGGATCTGGTCGATGATGGTGTCTGGTGCTGGTCTTTGGGACTTCGGGCTCGGGAGTTCTGCTCCTGGTCCCGCTGCTGCTCCTGGACCTGCCTTTCGTGTTTGGGATGTCTGGTAGGGGCAAGACCGCGAGACCGCGAGATCGCTCGTGGAGTGAAATGCTGGCGAGGCAAGGTATGCAACGTAACGGGCTATAGCGTGTGGCGGGAGGCAGGAACACAGTCATGAAGAACTCAGGCAGTAGGGTTTTGCCTCGTTCGGCTGACGACCTACTTATATATGCAGGGCGTTGGTATCAGCTTTTCCAGCCGGCGCGGCACACGACAGGGAGACAGGCAAGGGTACTCAAACGGCTTACCGAATGAATACAAGTTTGACGACGTGACCTTTCTAGCCGAGATTTTTGAAAGCAAGGATAGGATATGTGTGAGTGTCTTTTTGTTAGCGCCGGCGTGTGCTTGCAATTTGAACAGTCTGCTTTGTGCGAGTGTGACTTGGCTGCTGCCGTTGAACCTGGACCATGATGAATTCAGGTGAACAAGGACTGCTATCGAATTGATAGAACAAGGACATTCTCTACTCGGACTCGAATTCGCGTACAAGCACTATCGCCGAACGCCCTCGATTGTACCGTGGAGTAACGAGTGGCTTCGAGTTGATCTCGTGATTACGGCGAGAAATGGGGTTCCCCTTGGGCGGGTCAACCACCTGTAGTCACCGGTATGAGCCTGCGGGTATCGATGGACATCTCGAAGCGGAGGACAAGTACGACCAAGAAGAGGAAGATCAGTGTCTCGGCCCATCAAAGAGCCTCGAGATAGCATTCTGAAGACAATGTACAATCATGAAACTGGTGTTACAGGTGGGACGGACCATTTTCAATGTCCTCTTTGAGTCTCCTGAAGCCGAGGCGTGGAAAATATCCCCAGGGCTATCTCATCCGAGTGAAGCCAGCTCACGGACTCCATCGCTTCCTCGCCCGATCGTCCGGTGCCAGCAATAGCAGTCCGTGTGCGAGGAGTCACATCATCCTGGTAATATGTCAACCCACTCACCAATCTTTCGAGCCGTTTGCTGCCCTGCTCAGCTCGGCCAGCTCCGCCAGGTCAAATGCCAACAACTGCTGCGTCAAATCCCTGAACATCTTCTCGGAAAACACAGGTGGAACTGCGTTTCCCACCTGCTTCATTTTCTCGACCGTCGGACCACAGAAGACGAAGAAATGCGGAAAAGTCTGCAAGGCTGCGTGTTCGCGGACGCTGAAGCGTCGGTGGCCATCGGGATGGTAATGTTTGGCCTTTGCCTTTGTCATTATGGTAGGACACAGCCTATCGTCGTCATATCCGGGCTTGGGTCCCTCCATTCGAGGTATTTCGTCGTGATGAAGCGCGTTGTCGGGAATATTTCTGATTGCAGTCCCAATTCCCGGCAGTTTCTCGAGTCCTGGCCCGCGACCATGTGTAGGCTTGAGCAAGGTTGGGAGTTTCTCGCCGGGCCTGTTAGCAAGTCAGCACACTCCCGTCATGTCAATGCATGAACTGCTTCCTACCCTGACGCGATGAGAATCACTCGCTTCCTCGTCTGTGGCACACCCCAGCACTCCAGGTCCAAGACCTTCCATTGCACACTGTAGCCCTTCTGAATGAAGAAGCCTATCAGCTCCGTGAAGTGTTTTCTCTTATCCACATCAGTAATACTCTTTGACTCCTCCAATGTGGCGATGCGAGGCTTGCAGACGTCGAGCAAGTCGGCGACTCTGCCGAACGCACCGAGGTTTCTTTCGTTATCTGCCAAGTTTGGTCTTCGGTTGGCTCCGCAGAATGGCTGGCACGGTGGACTCATGTGTAGGATATCTACCAGACATGTCTTTGCCATGTCGCTGCCTGCCAATGCGGCTTTCTTGACGAAATCGTGAACATCCATTTGGAGGATCTGCATTCCTGTGAGACCGAAGTTCTGCTGGTATGTTTGAACAGCCCAGGGATCGAGGTCAAAAGCAAACTTCATCTTGAGACCAGCAGCGCGTGCGCCCCAAGAAGTACCGCCCGCGCCGGCAAATGCATCTCCAAATGTGTACCTCTTCATCTCCATGCCGTCGTATTGCTCAACATGGCTACCACCAAGAACGCAATCTACTTCTCCTCGCCATTGCTTTCTGACCTGTGCGTCTGGGATTCGGAGTTGAATGTGCTGGCCACCTCTTGTGATCAATGTACCACCATCTGCTTGATGAGACCGTAGATGCTCAATTCTCCCAGTTTTTGGCGGGCCTGACGGCTTGTGTCCGTCTATTCCGACATTGGTATGCCCACTGGTGTAACGGCAGAAGTAGATGTGCTTGTCGTCTTCGTCAGAACTACCAGGTTGAATGTCTTTCTGGTAGTTCAGTTCCTCGTACTGCTGATTGGTGTAGATGATCTTGCAGTTTCTGACGGCCGCATCGATCGGGACTGTCCATAGCGCAACCTCCGTGTTGAGTTCCTTGTCAATATTGACCAGCTGCACCAGTTCGTGATGACGCTCCGGCATGAGTAGTTCACAGTGGTTTTGCAACAAGAGTCTATGACCTCTGATATATCTTGTGGATGACGAAGATGTAATTGTTTCCGTTATTGTGAGGAACGAGTGGTCTTCCAGCTCGACACCGCAGCCTGGCTTCAGAACCAGCGCTCCATTGGATGTGGGATCTCTTGCGTCGACTACAACCGTGGGCTTCGGTACTGGCTGGACTTTGATGACCATAAGATCATTAACGTCGTTGGCTTCGTCTAGGGTGATGAGCTCATCATCGTTGTCATTGACTGTGGTCGAGATTGCCAGCTTCTCATCGTTGCGGTATGGGTCTGAACAAAGTTTCTGGGATTCAGATTGAGCAGTTTGACGTTGGTTGTGACGCAAAACTTGATCTCCCGCAAGCTGCTGCGACTGGAGACTGGACAAGTCGCCAGCACCCCGGGAGGCAACAGGATCCGTGAACCAGTCCATGCCAGCGGTTGGCTGTTTCCCCCTCGCCTTGAATGCGTCTGGGGCAGGTAGATGAGAGGAAGACTGGGAGAAAAGGGGAGGGTAGAGAGAAATCAAGCGCTTGTGAATTCAGCGATGACAAGCTGATGGGTACTGTAAAGAAGGAATGAAGACGTGTAGCACGTATGAGTGCGAGATGAGCTCCACACAGTGGTCAAGGACAGGACAGGTGAGATCAGCAAAAAGAGACGAACGAGCTTGCTGGACTGGCGCGAGGAGGACAGAAATGAACGAGTGACAAAGAATTAAAGAGCCCACAGATGCCTGTGATGAAGAACAGCTGCGAGAGAGAGGTGTTTGAGCTTGGGTCGCGGTAGAAGGATGTGTATGAGGCAGAGCGCGGTCAATATCGGCTCGGCGCCAGACTCTCAGGCACATACGTTGAGTTGATGCCATGACTTCCTTCCCACTAACGAGAGTTAGCTCTCATGAAAACGGGGACCATGTTTGTGGACAAAGCTTGTTGGCGATCAAACCCATGGACATGATCCGAGACAGAAAATCTTCATCGCCCATTCAAACTTGCAATGTCCAGGCTTTGCACAGAGTGTGTCCATTTGGGCTGGACACTCCTTGTAAACACGACCCGGGGGCCTTGCAAATGGTTCTTTGGCTGGTTCCATTGTTTTCGGGAGGCTAAAGAAAAGTGTCTTTCCGCACGTTGAGCAAAGGGAGACATCTTCGTGCGCTTCTGACTTCTCAAGCAGGAAGCGGCGCTTGAATCGCTGATGGACTGCCTCAGACACAAAAGCCCATGGGACCATGCTGTGGCGTCAACAGGCTGTCCTTGATGAGAAACAGCAAAGCGTATAATCCACAGCGCGTCCTTGTCTGATGGTATATTGGACTAGGCTGCCCCCTTGCTTTGTTGTTGACAAAGGTGGCCATTGCAGAAACCACAAGGGCCACTCTTCTCATGGATACGTGATGGATTGAGCACTATTAGCCCTGCCCGGTGTAGGCGTTCATGTCGACAGCCGAATATACAGCAGTCATTGCGACGCACAGTTGGTGTTTGATTAGGTAGACGTGCTCTTTTGAAAGTCAACAAAATCAGGATTGATTCTCCCACGAACTGAAAGGAATGTGTTTCATTCTTGACCGAAGTTTATCCAGCGGAAGACGGTGAAACTTTCTTCCGTAAGGGCGCCGTCCTCCGTGCACAACGAGATTCTCCAACACCGTCCAACGGCAGACACACCGTGACCAACCAAAGTCTCGAAAATGCGGGCAAATGCCAGGGCCTCGGCCGGAGGATAAAATTTTGTTCCTTCATGCTTGGACCTTGACTTCGCCTCAGAAAGGCTTTCACCATGTCGCTCCCACAGCTCACTAGGTCCTCCTCGCCTTTGGATCGTTCGTGTTGCTCTGAAGTTAGCACTACTTCAGATACGCTACTGCTCGGACCGGAGCGCAGGACTACTGACTAGCCCTCGAGAATTTCCGATATTCGAGATCTGACTGTCCTACTCTTCTCCTCCCACTCTTCTTGAGATTCTCGCATATGGTGGTTGTGACATGAGCATCATGTTTGTCTAGGTATGTCAAATCCTCCGCGAATTGCAGCCACCACATGATGAACCCACTTGTTATTTTATTAGATGTTAGACTTCATATCAATTTTGATGAGAACTATCGGGTCTGATCGGGGCCGAACTTGGCGTACCTGGCAAAGCGTTGACCAAACATAACTCGACTGACCCTGAAACCAGTGCTTTGCAGACAATTGTTCAACATGTGCGGGATTCTCGCTTTGATCCTCGCAAACACCGCGTCCGCGGACGTTGCGCTTGACCTCCACGAAGCCCTCTATCTCCTCCAACATCGCGGCCAGGATGCCTGCGGAATCGCCACATGTGTGGCGGGCGGAAGAATCTACCAGTGCAAAGGAAACGGGATGGCCGCAAAAGTCTTCGACAATGGGTCTAGAACGTTGGATTTACCCGGATTCATGGGTGTGGGCCATCTGAGATACCCGACCGCAGGGAGCAGTGCAAATGCCGAAGCTCAGCCGTTCTACGTCAACAGTCCTTATGGAATCTCACTGGCGCACAATGGAAACCTCATCAATGCACCTGAATTGCAGCGCTACCTGGATTTGGAGGCTCACAGGCACATCAACACCGATAGCGACAGCGAGCTGATGCTCAACATCTTCGCAAGCGAGCTCAATGAGACGGGGAAAGCGCGTATCAACAAGGACGATGTCTTCGCAGCGCTGGGTAGAATGTATGAAAAGTGCAAGGGTGGTTGGGCCTGCACAGCAATGATCGCCGGTTACGGCCTGATCGGTTTTAGAGACCACTTCGGAATCCGTCCATTGGTACTTGGCGCGAGAGATTCAGCAGATGGCAGCGGGAAAGACTACATGATGGCTTCGGAGTCGGTCGCCCTGACCCAACTCGGTTTCTCAGTTGTCCGTGACATCCTTCCAGGCGAAGCTGTTCTCATAGAGAAGGGCCAAGAGCCGCATTTCCGGCAAGTGCAGCAACGCAAGACGTATGCGCCGGATATCTTTGAGTACGTCTATTTCGCTCGTCCTGACTCCATCATGGATGGAATCAGTGTGCACCGCAGTCGCCAGCACATGGGTGTCAGACTTGCTGCGCAGGTCAAGAAGGTGTTGAGCCCCAAGGATTTGGCAGAAATCGACGTTGTCATTCCTATCCCCGAAACATCCGTCACCTCGGCAGCAGTGGTGGCCAAGATGTTGGACAAAGAATACGTTCAAGGTTTTGTGAAGAATCGATACGTGTTCAGGACTTTCATCATGCCAGAGCAGAAGACGCGTCAAAAGAGTGTGCGTCGCAAACTCAACCCCATGCCAATGGAGTTCAAGGATCGGAACGTTCTCCTTGTCGATGACAGCATTGTTCGCGGCACGACGAGTCGGGAGATTGTGACGATGGCTCGTGAAGCGGGAGCGAAGAAGGTCCATTTTGCCAGCTGCGCCCCTCCGATCACGCATGCGCACATCTACGGGATCGACCTAGCATCGCCATTTGAACTGGTGGCACACAACTATCATGGAGCGGAGGCGATCGCCAGGCACATTGGAGCTGACAGCGTCATTTACCAAACACTGGACGATCTGAAGGCGGCGTGCGTCGATGCTGCTCGGGAAGCTCAAGCAGTCGACGCCCCGAACGACTTTGAAGTGGGTGTCTTCTGTGGCACCTACATCACCCCTGTGGACCAGGGCTACTTTGAACACCTCGAACAGATCAGGGGCCAGACGCGCAAATTCAAGGTTGTTGATGAAGCGAGACGAGCTGTCGTACAAGGAGTGGCAGAAGAGCATCAGATCCAACTCGCTACCAATGGCGCGGTGGTGACCCCGAACGGCGAGGTTGTCCCGGCTGTCAACGGTGTGCGCAAGCAGTCGGTCCACACTGATCTCATGGACTCACATCGAGGTTCGGCCGCGTCACTGGGACCAGACGAGGAAAGCCCGACCGTGCGCGATCGTATGGATATCGCTTTGCACAACCTCGGAGACTTCCCCAGGAACGAGTGAAAAGCATCGGCAGGCGCAAAGTGCAAGAGATGGTGTTCGGGGATTGGGCTGTTTGCATTGGGGCAATGACAAATGAGGGTGGACAATCTGTGCGAGGGTGACGGTACTCGGTGGCGTTCTCTTCGTCTGTACAGAGCACCGGGAGAAGACAACCGCATCAGTGTCCTGCCAGGATGTGTGGAACAGGTACAGCAGCACCTGCCATCATCAGAGTAGCAAACATTCCTTCCGCTTGCGTGGCTGATTGTCGACGATGCGCCTTCCCGTCCACAATGTGCTTTTATGTAGCAGCCTTTCCCATTCTCATCGCTTCTTCCGTTTGACTCTGCAACTCGCGGCCCCCGGTGGACGTTGCAGCTTTTTGGACTTTTTGGCACTTCTTGACTGGCTTCACATGGGTGATAACAAGCACTCGACCACTATGACTTCCATCTACGTCCTCCTCGGCCTCTTCCTCAGCAGTGTTGTGGCACAGCGATATGTCCCTCCCAAGCTCGGCTCGGACAGCACTGGGGATATCACTCAGCCTGGTCCATGTCCCGCCTATCTTCCCGCTTTCCCAGACTTCGAGTTTGCCCATCTGGCTATACCGGTCTCACAAAAGAAGCCCGACACGGCCTACCCCAACACGCTCACACCATATGTCACCGCTGGCGACATCTCGATGATCTTCAACTTCGACATCTCACCATCCCGCAAAGGCCAGCTGTGCGTCCTGGAGTTCTTCTTCCCAACTCAAAGCCAATTGAGCACATCCTCGTTTCAGTTCACCGGTGCCTATGGCGAGTATATATTCTCCCTCTCGGTTCTTGGCGGCGGCGCAGTGGAGGGTAACACGACCTACAACAATCAACCACTGCAGTCCAACCCGCACGGCTTTCCCCGGATCATCCATATCAACCCAGGCCACGCATGGGCGCTGGGCAGCACGATCTGCGTGCCAGGGAGATTCGCCGTCACGCTGAGCAGCTCGAACAGTAGTCTGAGATGGTTCCAGGACTGGAATCAATGTCCGATCGGGCTCTTCATCACCTACGACACAGAGACGCCATGACGGACACGACAGGCGGCGGGAAGGCGGTCGGAAATGCACGGAATTTATGGAGCATGGCTTAGTTAAGGTTACTCCCTGGTTAGCGACGTCCAGCCACTCGGATTGCTGCATGAACGGGTGGTGGTGGTGGTGGTGGTGGTGGTGACGAGGAGGCTGGGGTGTCTCGGTGTCTGGGTCTGTCTCTAAGCGTCGTGCGCAGTGGGGGCTCACAAGGTGCCGCTGGACAACACAAGCCTCGTGATTTTGCATCTTGTACAATAATGAAGCTCGCGTGTAGCTCTGCGCTGGTATTTTCGATCTCCTCATCGCCGCTTCAGTATCCTTCTTGGCCTGAATCATTGTCGCGCTGCCTGCGTGAGCCCTCCTGCTCACCACTGGAGCTCGAGTCGATGGACGTTACACCACAAGATCGCATTTCAGGACGACGGCGACCCTGCCTACCGGACGTCGCAACGAAGCCCATCCGCCGATAGCTGCCATAAGCCCTCTGCGCGCCATGCGATCGTGATCGTTCTCTCCGCGCTGAAAACGACCTGAGCGCCCACATCGACGGCAGCACCATGTCGCGCCCTCCACCCAATGCGCGGTCCTCGCTCGCAAGTGGGCTGGCACCTCCTCCACCAGCAGGGTACGCGGCGAGCGCCCATGGCTCAGTAGTCTTCGGCGCACCTCCACCACCTCACTCCGTTGCCCCGAGTGCCCTCAGCCGTCCTCCGTCGCGCTTCGAACCTCCCCCCCTCGCCGCGACCATGGGTCCCATGCCGGGCACGCTCGAACGACCGATCCATGGGCCCAAGAAACGCCTGATCGTGACATGCGACGGGACGTGGTTGGACGCCGACAATGGTCTGATGAACGGACACAAACAGCCGCCCTCGAACGTGTCACGGATAGGCTGGGCGATCAAGGACACCTCCCGCGACGGCATCCCGCAAATCGTGAACTACCAGGCGGGCGTCGGAACCCAAGGTGGGCCGGCATCGCGCGTGGTAGGCGGCGCAACAGGAATGGGCATACGCGAAAACATGCGCACGGCATACACATACCTTGCCACGAACTGGCGGCCTGGGGACGAGATCTTCATCCTTGGATTCTCGCGCGGCGCGTTCACGGCGCGTACCGTGGGCGGCATGATCGGCTCACTTGGTCTGCTTACCCGGGACGGCCTTCCGTTTTTCAACGAGATCTTCGAGGACTGGGAACATCGTTTTGACGATCGCTATGTCTCCAGGTTTCCGCACGTGCCGTTCCCCGAGAAACGACTCCCGTTCGACGAGCAGTACGTCCATGAACTGTCTCGCCGGGGCCTGACGCGGTTGAACGTCCCCATCAAGGCGATCTGCTGCTGGGATACCGTCGGCAGTCTGGGTATTCCGCGAGTGCCCTGGCTGGAAGGTCTGCGGCTCCAAGCGCCGGGAATGCATGATTACGAATTCTACGACACGCGATTGAATCCCTGTATTGAGAACGCATTCCAAGCGCTGGCCCTCGATGAGCGGCGCGCGCCCTTCTCTCCGGCGCTGTGGGAGAAACGAGACAACAACACGACGAATCTGGTCCAGTGTTGGTTTCCCGGCGTGCATTCGAATTTGGGAGGCGGCTACGACGATCAGGAGTTGGCCAACATCACTCTCGCGTGGATGATCAGCAAACTCGAGCCCTTTCTGGACTTCGAACGGGACTTTCTGATCGGCCTGTGGGAGTCGAACCGGGCCTATTACAAGCAGTCGGGCCAGAGGACGCGGTGGTGGTCGTTTGGAGAGCTCTACAACTCGTTAAAGGGCATCTATTCCCTGACGGGCAGCAAGACGAGAACCCCCGGCAACTACTTCAGAAGCGATCCCCATACAGGGCGGCCGATGACGAAACGCCTCCGAGGCACGAACGAATACATCCACGCGAGCGTGCGAGCGAGACTGGGTCTCGGCGGACCCGGCCCACTTGATCGGGGCACATATAATCCTCCGGCCTTGAGGGACTGGACGTTCGATGTCGAAGCCGTGGGGCCCGGCCAGGGCGGCAACCAGGATGGATTGCTGGTCGTGTGGACAAACCACGGCGGCTCCTCGAGAAGGAGGGGCGCGCGAAACGAAAAGGGCGGACAGGAGAAGATCCCCGAGGAGCGATTATCGGAGACGGAACTGGTCTTGTTGAAACAATCACCCCGAGTGTACGATTTCGTGACGCAACTGCGGCCCAATCCCCAGCAAGGGAAACGAAGGTCCCGTCGACACGGTGGGCAAAATGGCACGCCGAACGGGCCGGGTCCGCCACCGCCCGGTGTAGGTCCTTACGGCCAGTATGGGGGTGGCAGACCGCCGCCGCCGGGCTCGTTCGTCGGGCCTCGACCTGGCTCTGTACCGCCGGATGGGCGACGGAGCGGGAGATCCAGGTCCTTGAATCCGGATGGACTCCCCTACGATAGTGACGATAGCAGGGAGCGGGATCGAGATAGGCGGCATCGGAGGAGACGAGACAGTGGCGATCCAGACCGGCAGAGAAGAAGACGAAGTCGGAGATATGAGGATGACGATGAGTAAGAGACTGGTCTGAAGTTTACAGAACGATCTTGCGTATGCCGGTCTTTGTGATGGCAAGTAATCATAGCGATCGATCGAAGGCGCAAGGGAAGCTGGATGATATACCCATTGCTGAGGCTTCAGTTGATTTGCACCGACACAGAAGTGAGTGATTTGTTTCAGAAACGAGTCTCATTCATGTTCAGCACGGCATTCTGTGTTCATTCTCAAGGTTCCTTACCGTCACCTCACTTTACTACACTTTACTACACTCCAATTCACTTCATTCACCGGCAATTCTATATATTCCAGCCGCACGACCACCACGAAATATCTTCCCCTTGAATTGTTGCGCGTTTGTTTCAAGCGCTCTTCAACCTTACCGGTCCTCAGACCTGTCAACGGTATCTAAGAGGCCCTTCTCGCCAGGTGTCCCTTCTGTACCGAGGCGGTCTCAAAAGGTGAGTCCATGCTCTGCCGCTTCTGTCAAGATTCAACTCGTTTGGCTCGTTCCATGAAGCCTCTGCTAAGTCACGTCTAGAGATCCTTCGCAGCCTGCTGACGGTACTGGATGAAAATCCAGCTTACTCGACTCCTTCCGTCGTCCGTCACGGACAATTCGACTCCAGCCACCTCCATCACAACGCCGGCAAACCTGAAATCTCTGCAACAGCAGGCTGCCGCAAAGACACTTCCAACCCTCCAAGAAGACGAAATCGCCGTCCAAACGCTGCTTGGTCTGGGGGATGACGAACGACAGGCCCTTCTTCCCCATCTATGGCAGGAGTTCATGCGACTTGCGGACGCGGAGCGCGAATACCAGACCCTCGAGAAACACCATGCCCGCCGCGTACCGACATGTCGCCTTTGTTCGCCGCCTCGAAAGAGTCACCTTGAAGGACTGGAAAGGCGGCGATGAGGACGAGGAGACGAGCGCAGATGACATCGGTGACCTTACGCTTGAGCATCTCAGGGAAGATCCTGATAGCGGCGACGAGGACGAGGAGTCGAGCGTAGATGACACGGTGACCCTACGCTTGAGCATCTCAGTAGAGATTCTGAGAGCGGCCTTGGGGAGACACACGAAGATGGCAAGGAGGATTATGACCTAACAAGCGACCCGTATGCTCTTCGAGAACACTTCCGGTCGCGATGTTGCGTCGCAAGAGTTGGGATCTTGTAGACTCGTTTCCTGGAGCCAGGAAATGGAGTCACTTTCGGCTCGTCACAACAGACGATTCCGAAACACGCAATGCCTTTTGCTGTGCAGGGCCGGATGATCAAAAATGCAGGAGTGCAGGAGGTATACGCTTCTCAGACTTGTTATCCTCCCCTTTGCTTCTCTACCGACTGATCTCCACTTTTTGGATGCCGCTGCCATTTCCAATGTTATCGACAAAGAATGCTGGGTGATTGTGTTGCGGTTCATGGTAGATCCACGGAGCCACCTTATATTGCAGGACTGACTACATGGGCAGCCTGAGGATTTGCTTCTTGGGGACTGAAGAAGCAAGCTCCTCCGCATTCGACCTGTTGAACTGGTTGGTCAGCGCAAAAATCCCACATCCTTGTGCTGATCGCGGTCCATTCCTGGCTGGGACGGTATGGTACAACGAGGAAAGTCCGGAAGTTTAGGGATAGGCGATCCTGAAAGCCACCATGATTCTACCCTTTCTCATCAAGCTGCAACGGCTCCATGACAGCAGATTCGACAGAAGTCATGAGTATCGACAAGCCCTGGAAGTCTGTCACTTCCCAGAGGCAGCGAAGAACTCGAACAGGAGAACCACGATTGAGCATTACTCCCCTGTTACCCAGCGATACTTCAGATCAATTGAGAACTTCCAACCAGTGCCAGTAGCCAACCCTATGCTACCGATCGAGTTGTTTTGAACGTTGACATCACCCGACAAACGGAAGTAATGGCACGTTGGCTTGTTTATCGTGAGCCAGTGCTCGCTCTCGGGAAATCGTCTTTATTCATTCAAGACACGGAAGGAAAGACGAGCTGCGCTTTGGGTCCACAGTGTTGGCTGCTTAGTTCTAAAGCCGTCGCACGGCTTGGAAGGTAAATAGGCTGTTCCTTGCCGGCAGCGATACAGAGCAAGGACCGAAGCCGGGCACGTAGCTAGCTTTAGTTGCTCGATCGATGGTCGATAGCTTCATTGAACAAGACGCAACTAGAAACAACCACATCTGAAGTCCCTTAGGTTCTCACCGACCGAAACATCCAACGGGACTCTACCATAAGTCTAGACCGAATAACAAATGGACTCCTAGGTCTTACCTAGAGCGAGCCAAGCGCAAATGCTGTAAAGTACCTATGGGAAGAGGGCACGCCGTAAAGACAGAGTCCGTGATTAGCCTGTAAGCCAGCCAGCCCATGAGATACTCTACAGTCCGATGGTGGAGGGTGGCGAGCAGGTTTGAGGCTGAGGACCAGAACCAGAACCAGAATCAGATCACAAACTTCCAATACGCGGTACCACGGTGATGTCTCGGTGTACTGTATTCCAACCAGGAGCCACATCATTGAGAACGGTACGGGATGAAAGAGATATTTGACCCGTCGTGGCTATTGCTTGGTTACCACCAGGGAGGTAGGTAGGTAGATAGTTATATAGGTAAGCATATAGGTATATACCTGGTAGGTAGATGGGTCGGTAGTCATGTATGTCCCCACCATCTACCAATAGCCTCATTCACTTCAGCCCGGGAAATTGGATGGCACAAGTACAGGTACTCCGTACGTACCTCGTCGTTTGACCGTCTCCCCTCCTGTTGGTTGATCAAGGACTAACCTCCAGCTTACCTGAGAGAGATACTGTACGTGGGAGTGTATGTAATTATTCCTTCGAAATCCGAAACTACTGGTGACTACAGTAGGTTACGGTGTACTTCCACATTCTATCCCTCCGTTTCCTCCTCCTCCGCCTTCACTTCCCTTCTCTCGCCTTCACCGCTGGGGATGATTTATAGGGTACGTTGGTTGCAACGCGTATGCCTGTCCAACCCTTCTAGTAGGTCAGTGAAGAACATAGGTCGACAGCAGCCGACTCCATTCTTGGAGCAAGTCAATGCTGATCTGGAGGAAGCCGACAATGTAGTCGGTCGGTCGGTCACGGCATAGCGTAGAGTGAGGAGCGAGACGAGACGAGATGAGAATCCCTGTTGCGCATATATCGCATATACCGCATATATCGTGTGGTGTGGTATCAGACGTGTTGCTCTACAATGTATTCATCCTAGGCTTGTCCTTTTGAATTTCCATGGTCCGGGTATCAGATGTATTGTCGAATCAAGAACTCTGGACGTCAGTCGTCATCCCATGCTTTTATCCATCTACCTATCTTCTTTCCTTGCTTGCTTGCCTGCCTGCCTCACTGCCTGCATTCACCAAACTTTCATATCCTAAGAGAGCACGCGCGCCCACATCACCTCGCCCGCTCCCTCAATTTCAACCGCCCCGACATGCCTCCCCTCGGTCTCGCGGCCCCACACAGGACCTGATAAGGCCGATGCCCCTCGACAGTGCGCCTCACCTCCCCCGACACGCCATCCTTGAACTCATCCTTGGTCTCCGTGGGGATCCAATCGCCCGGCTCGATCTTCTGACCGTCAAACTCGGCCGTGAAATCCACGTCCTTGACGATCAGCGCGATCACGACCTTGGCCTCCATCATCGCGAGTTCCTGGCCAATGCAATTCCGGGGTCCCTTTTCGAACGGCCGCCACGCGTCCTTGCCATCCGGGGTGTGCAGTTTCGCATCGGGAAACGGGGTCTCACCGGGGATGAAGCGCTCCGGAATGAAAGCGAGAGGCTGCGGGAAATAGGCCTCGTTGCGGTGGATCATATGCGCCACGGGCCAAATGTCAAAGCCCACGAGCGGGCATTCCTTGCCCGTCGAAGGGTCGATGATGGAGGTGGCCTTCACGGCCGAGACGTCGGACGGGGCTTTTAATTCGCGGATCGTCGACGCGGCGGGGAAGAGGCGCAGCACTTCCTTGATCACGGCGGTGAGGTACTCGAGCTTGTTGATGGTGTGCGGGTCGTCCTTGATGAGGGCCGCCTTGGCCTCGGCGGAGGTGTCGCTGCCGTAGACGTCGTCCAGTTCTGCCACGAGCCGCTTGTACACTTTCGGGTGCAGATGGAGGAGATACATGATGTAGGAGATGGTCGCGGACGTGGTGTCATGGCCGGCGAATATGAAGGTCTTGATGCTGTCGATGGCCATGCTGCGGAAGGAGCTGGTCACCACGCCCGCGGCCCCGGAAGCGACTTCCTTCTCGTACGCGTCGAGCGCGAGGTCGACGATCGAGCGTTTCCGGTCCTTCGCGGGCTTCTCGTCCGAGGCGTGGCCATTGCCATTGCCGTTGCCGCTGGCCGGCTGAAGCTGTTGCTTTTGCAGAGTCTTCCGCGCCGCGACTTTCTTGTCGATTTCCGCGCCGAGAAGACGGTCGAGTTTGCGCCGGTTCCACCATAGCCGGAGCGGCCGCAGGAGGTTGATGTCGTCAAAGGGTCCGATGCTCGAGGCATTAGGCATCAAGAGGACTTGTTTCCTGAACGTGGTGACGATCGGGTGTGGTCTTTTCTGGCTGTCAAAGTCCGAGTCCATGACCACTTTGCCGATGATGTCGATGGCGAAGCCGATGGTCAGGGGATCGAGTTCGACGAGTTCATTCGTCTCGGCCTTCTGTCTCAGCAGGTCGAGGAGCACGAGGCTCGAGTCCACGATATAGGGCACCAACGTGATCAAGTGGCTGGCGGAGAAGCCGGGGTTGAAGATCGACCGTAGAGACTTCCACGCCTGGCCCTCGAGACTGACCATGTTGGACGGACCGAGGAGTCTGGCGAGGAACGCGCCGACGAGGCGTGATTTCGGGAGCGATTGGCCCGTCGTCAGGAATTTGGACGCCAGTACCGGGTCGGCGATGAACACCCAGCGAGGGCCGAGAGGCCACCAGTCGACGTAGAAGACGTCTGTTCCCCGGGGGAAAATATCTGAGCAAGCAGGCACAGGTACATGGCGTGATGCAGGAGGCACTCACCACCCAGATGGTACTTCTTCCTGATATAATTCGTCCAGTTCTGCATGTGGCAGTTTGGAGGGAACAGCCTTTTGCAGTCACCCGCGATCTTCAGGTGGCCCCAGAATTTGCCCCCTTCCATGGGCGGTTGTGGCTGGTGGCCCGTATCATTAATATCTGGAAGCCACTGATGGGACCGGGGAAGCAAACAAAACTCACCAGTCCATCCAGTTCTGCCCGCTTCTTGTAGACCAGCGTGACAAAGTAGATCACACCGGCCGTGAGAAGGGCCAGGACCGCCGAGACGACACGCCACATGGTTATTGATCGCTTTGCTGAGACGAGACAGCAGGCTCCGACTTGCTGTGCTCAAGATATGTACGGAGTACAAAAGCGAAATACTGTGCTGGTGTCTGTCGTGGCTATTGCTGGAGGAGACTGGGTTCCAGCAATTAGCTCGCTACCGACGGAGTGTCCAGAATGAGGGTTGCTAGGTCGAAGGATTGGTGGATGGACGGGGGGGTACGACGTCGCTCACAGGCACCGAGTGCGTGACAGGGCGATTTCTCCGGGGGGTTGAAGCTGGTCTGGGAGTATGTTGGGACGCCTGGTCGAGGCGATCGACTCGTTTTTAAAGACTGCAATCAGTGTCCGCGGCGTCGAAATCGTGATCAGGCAGGAAGTCTCGCTCGCAACAATTACCCAAGAGCTTTAGCTAGAGCCGTAGGAATTCGTCCATCTTCATCCTTCCGTATCCTCGTCGACAGTCTGCTGCCTTGTCCATGGGCCCATCGCAGTCGCGGAGGAGGGACAGCGAACGTGGCCAATGGCCAATGGCACTCGCATCTTTCTTGACCATCCGGAATCGTACGATCCTAGTGGTGGTAATTAAGGCGTCCCATGGGAATGGGACGCGACTGTTGATGAGGGAAGTCCGAGGAATCAATGCGATTGGTGATGGGCTAATCACAATTATCTCAATCGGTAGCGGAGGAGACGGTCAGGTTCTGAAATGATCATTTCATTTTCTTTCCTGACTGTCCTGAACATTACTTGCTTCACTCCGGCCCCGAGTTGTGTAGTAAAGCTTCCCTTCGCCGACTTCCGAGCACAACGCCGAGTAGCCATCTAACATTGTCACCGCGAACGAGCGCATACCCAGCCCGAGCAGCTCCATCACCCGTGTTCATCTAGCAACCTGCGACTGTCCGAGTAAGAACCACGCTACGCCAAGACGCCAGCCGCCAGCATGAACTCGTCATAACTCCCAAGGCCCGAGACGGAGAGAACATGACCATGGTCGCTATGGACCTAGGCCGGCGCCAACGTCATCTTCCTCCAGCCCGGGCAAGGCACCATCATCGTAATCATCGAATGGCAGACCTGCCTCGCGGCATCGACTCTGCCACTTGCTCGTCTCAGCCCAAGCAGCTCTGGCCGATTCCTTCATGCGATCGAGCCGGTTAGTGAGTTCCTTGATGGCAATGTCGAAGGTGGCGCGTTCGTCTTGCCATTTGGCCTTCTCGTTGACCAGCTCTTGGACGTATTCATAGGTCCGTTGCAAGATTGCCCCTTTGTTCTTCTCGGTGCCGGGGACGATCTTGGCAATGTTTTCGATGCCTTCATTGATGACTTCGCGGCGGCGGCGTTCGACTAGAGGAGAGCATCGTGAGCATGCCGGGAAGGCCCAAGCACGGAACGAATGTATCGCTTACCTTCCTTGTGATTGTCCTTGCGCAACTGGTGCCACTCTGTGCTACCGACGGCGGGTTTGCTTGCTTGCTCGTTGGTATTGTTATTGTTGGTGCTGGGATTGGCATTGGCATTGGCGTTGGCCACCGCCCCGACTAGAGCTTGCGCCGTGCTCATGCCGCCGCCGACCGTCGCACCACTGTCTTCAAAGGTGAAGGGAAGGCCTGCATCTCCCTGATTATGACCGGGTTCGGGGTAGGTGGAGGGGTTCATGCCAGGGGCGGCGAGCGCGGCCTGGGCGGTGCGAGTGTTTTCGTCCGAGAGCATGCCATCGCCCTGGAGCAGGAGACCGTAGTTGTTCGGGTCGTGCTCCCCGTTGGTATTGCTGATCTGCATCCTGCCGTCACGGCCATCTTGATCTCCGACTGCTCTCTTGCGTTTGTTCGATGTGCTGCCCGTTGCAGCGGCGCCGGTTTGGTTCGCCATGAATTCACGGAGTGACTGCTGAAAATTGTCCAGCGAGCTCGGCGGTAATATACCAGCTTGATAGTCAAGCTTGCGCCTGACTCAACTAGCTGTGGCGATTGTCGAGGGCCGCAAGGCGCAATGAGGGTAGGTAGGCGACAAGGTTGAATCCGGCGACTCTAGGAAAACTACCAATGCACGGTTAGCCATGGTCGGGGACAAGTTTGTGTTCGACGACCAAGTGTGGGAAACATATGTGGGAATCGAGAAGAGGAAATGGGCCAAAGATGGTGTGCAGCTGCAGATGTCACATGAGGACCGCGAGGGAGGGCAGAAGGTGGAATGAGCGCGTCTGCCCGTCGCCAGTCTTCCACTCTGCCGCTCCCTGGCCTGCGCGTACTTTGGCCGCCAGGCATCACAACAGCAGCGGCAGCGGTCTGGTCTCTCTCGCTCGCACCCTGGCCGCCGGTTGGGGATGGACGTGCGATGGCGCTTGTCGCTGAGGACGACATCACGGTGAACTGCATGTAGCCAGCCGTAGCCGCAAGTTGATCCCAAGCGGGACATGGTAAAGCGGATCGCATCAGGTGACTTTGATGAATGCAACTTACTTGGATGGACTTGCTGAGCTCCAACCTGGCCCAGACCACTGAACCAGTGTCTTGTGCGACGGCCGATTTGGCGACAAGGATCAGCACGGCGACGAGATAGCCGTCGTTGATATTGGGAGTTCGCAGCCTGTCCTCGACGTGCCGGGACCGAATGCTTTCTGTCGGGCTACAGCGAGGAGGGAGCGAGTTGAAGGTCACGGGGAAGGTGCAGGTCATGTGAAATGTTATTTGAACGAAGTCACGACATTGCGCGTCCCAATGCCGTCTAGCGCATCTCTTAGCGTGGATTTGCCACCGCCTTTGGCAGTGACGCTGCCCCTCCCTCGCCTGGGCTGACCGGGTCTCGTGATTCGGTCGCTGACCCTCCATCCGACCTGCGGTGGGGCACGTCTTCTCATTTGCTGAGGCAACGCCGCCGTCACCATATCCGGACCTGCTGCACACCAGTGCAGTGGTTGCAATGCATGGTTATGTTTCCATGGGAAAGTTGGTTTCCACACCTTCTGAACCCTGGGGCATGTTCGGGACAGCACAGAAGGTCCAGGCGACCATTTGTCTTGCTGGACGCTTGACTGGCTTTTCCGTGGTCCATGGTCTTTCAAACCGCGGGTATGGCATCCGCATCATTAGTCGTCAAGTCCGCTGGCTCGGTCTTCTGCTTGAGTGTGAGCGAGTATCTGGGTGGAGAGTCTGTATCCACCACTAGAACGCCTTCCTGAGCACGACCGAGGACATCCCAAAGCCGGACGCGCCCATCTTTTGCAATGCCCATAACACAGCTACTGCCTGCATACCTGACCTCCCCAATGCGTGGAGCAATGCCTTCGTCGCCTGTCCGGTTAGCGCAGACGACAAAAGCTTCGGATTGAGCGCCCTGGGGTCCGAAAAGAGGCATGAGTCGGTCGATCCAGTAGTTGAGGGTGTCGTGATCCGGCTCCGTCACCTGACTGGCTAACTCATCGGCGCTCAGCCTCGTCAGCCAGGCCATACTGATGACTACGACTTTGGCACGAGCCTCGCGCGCGTGATTGCCGAACTCATACGCCGTCCAGGGTGCCTCGAACTTGTAGGGGTTGATGTCCATGCATATACCCGCCGCAGCTTTGACCTGCTGACCTTTGCCACCAATCGGGAGAACTCCCGCCCAGAAACCCTGCCCCTCTTGAGCCCACGTCTCGTCGGTGTAGTACAAGAACGACTTGCGATAATGAGCCATCACGTCCCCTGTGGAGCCGACAAAGACAAGCGAATTGTAGGCGACCTTGCCCGTCTCTTCGGCCGTGATCCGTTTGTCATAGATTGTGTTGTAGTTGCCTTCTTCGGCCGCCTCGGGATAGCCTACAGCCACGGTGCACTTGAGGCGTTGGGCGGTGCGGGCCGCCCATCGAGTCGACGGCCCTGCCGCTGTTGGTTCGAGGAACGGTGCGATTGCTGCTAGTGATGGGTGATTATACCCTGCCACACTCGTTAGCCCCCAACGGTGCCGGGCGGTGCGGACTGGGACAGAATTGCTTCTGCCGGCGCTCGCACCGTGGTAGAGCACCATACCTTGCCGTGATATCGAATGACGGCTCTACCTGGGCTTGCGGAGTTGGGACTCACCGGTGAATGCAAGTTCAGGAAGAACCAACAGATCAACGCCTTTCAGTTCACCTTCCCTTTCCTGCCGCATGAGCAGGCTTTCTGCTCGGCTGAAGTTGGCTGCCACCTCCGCCAACCGCGGAGAGAACTGAAGGGTAGCAATCTTCATGTTGGCGCTTGGCCGAGCCCGCAAAGATGGATTTGGATGTCTCGTCACCGGAAGGACATGATTGCCTGGCTGTGCCCACTCCCTCTAATCAACCGCCTGCTCTTGTCGAAGTTGAGCAGGTGCACACTTGCTTGCAACCCGTGAAAGCCGGACTGGTTGAGGAGTTCTACGCCATCTCCAGCATCAAGAGGTAGTATGAGAAGAGGCAGCGACTGATGATTGCAGTCTTAACGTGAGTCAAAGGGAAAATTCCCCGCCACTTCGGTAGGATTGCTACACCGTAGTTTCCCATCCTTTCCCACTCTCGGTCGACTTGCCCTGGGTACGTACAACCTACCAAAAGCGGCAGGACTGCTTAAGCCTCTAGCTCTTCCTCTATTGCGTCACATGCCACCAACGCGCTTTCTGCGACTCTCACATACAGGAGTTGAGCAGGCAAGACCCCAAGTGATCCATGGAATAGTCAGTGGCTGATCACCTTCACGATGCTGGTCTTGACTGGAGATCTATCTTCCAGCTCTGAACTTTCGGTCACCGAATGTACTTCGGCACAATCCGAGCTAAGGTCAATATGAATAGAAGCATTGGTGTCAGTGATACACCAGCAAGCGAGCTGCAAGCTTTGCAAAGCGACCTGAGAAGCTTCTTGATTCATATATTCGGCTTTCTGGGGTGACTGTATCACTTCTCAGTAGGGCCATCATCCTGGTCGTGGGCGTGATACCCTTGGGTCTCAAGGCTTCGACTTGGCGTGAGTTGCCAAGCATGATGCTTTTCCTCCTCCCAAGCTATAAAGAGTC